CTAACCCTAACCCTAACCCTAACCCTAACCCTAACCCTAACCCTAACCCTAACCCTAACCCTAACCCTAACCCTAACCCTAACCCTAACCCTAACCCTAACCCTAACCCTAACCCTAACCCTAACCCTAACCCTAACCCTAACCCTAACCCTAACCCTAACCCTAACCCTAACCCTAACCCTAACCCTAACCCTAACCCTAACCCTAACCCTAACCCTAACCCTAACCCTAACCCTAACCCTAACCCTAACCCTAACCCTAACCCTAACCCTAACCCTAACCCTAACCCTAACCCTAACCCTAACCCTAACCCTAACCCTAACCCTAACCCTAACCCTAACCCTAACCCTAACCCTAACCCTAACCCTAACCCTAACCCTAACCCTAACCCTAACCCTAACCCTAACCCTAACCCTAACCCTAACCCTAACCCTAACCCTAACCCTAACCCTAACCCTAACCCTAACCCTAACCCTAACCCTAACCCTAACCCTAACCCTAACCCTAACCCTAACCCTAACCCTAACCCTAACCCTAACCCTAACCCTAACCCTAACCCTAACCCTAACCCTAACCCTAACCCTAACCCTAACCCTAACCCTAACCCTAACCCTAACCCTAACCCTAACCCTAACCCTAACCCTAACCCTAACCCTAACCCTAACCCTAACCCTAACCCTAACCCTAACCCTAACCCTAACCCTAACCCTAACCCTAACCCTAACCCTAACCCTAACCCTAACCCTAACCCTAACCCTAACCCTAACCCTAACCCTAACCCTAACCCTAACCCTAACCCTAACCCTAACCCTAACCCTAACCCTAACCCTAACCCTAACCCTAACCCTAACCCTAACCCTAACCCTAACCCTAACCCTAACCCTAACCCTAACCCTAACCCTAACCCTAACCCTAACCCTAACCCTAACCCTAACCCTAACCCTAACCCTAACCCTAACCCTAACCCTAACCCTAACCCTAACCCTAACCCTAACCCTAACCCTAACCCTAACCCTAACCCTAACCCTAACCCTAACCCTAACCCTAACCCTAACCCTAACCCTAACCCTAACCCTAACCCTAACCCTAACCCTAACCCTAACCCTAACCCTAACCCTAACCCTAACCCTAACCCTAACCCTAACCCTAACCCTAACCCTAACCCTAACCCTAACCCTAACCCTAACCCTAACCCTAACCCTAACCCTAACCCTAACCCTAACCCTAACCCTAACCCTAACCCTAAACCCTAACCCTAACCCTAACCCTAACCCTAACCCTAACCCTAACCCTAAACCCTAACCCTAACCCTAACCCTAACCCTAACCCTAACCCTAACCCTAACCCTAACCCTAACCCTAACCCTAACCCTAACCCTAACCCTAACCCTAACCCTAACCCTAACCCTAACCCTAACCCTAACCCTAACCCTAACCCTAACCCTAACCCTAACCCTAACCCTAACCCTAACCCTAACCCTAACCCTAACCCTAACCCTAACCCTAACCCTAACCCTAAACCCTAACCCTAACCCTAACCCTAACCCTAACCCTAACCCTAACCCTAACCCTAACCCTAACCCTAACCCTAACCCTAACCCTAACCCTAACCCTAACCCTAACCCTAACCCTAACCCTAACCCTAACCCTAACCCTAACCCTAACCCTAACCCTAACCCTAACCCTAACCCTAACCCTAACCCTAACCCTAACCCTAACCCTAACCCTAACCCTAACCCTAACCCTAACCCTAACCCTAACCCTAACCCTAACCCTAACCCTAACCCTAACCCTAACCCTAACCCTAACCCTAACCCTAACCCTAACCCTAACCCTAACCCTAACCCTAACCCTAACCCTAACCCTAACCCTAACCCTAACCCTAACCCTAACCCTAACCCTAACCCTAACCCTAACCCTAACCCTAACCCTAACCCTAACCCTAACCCTAACCCTAACCCTAACCCTAACCCTAACCCTAACCCTAACCCTAACCCTAACCCTAACCCTAACCCTAACCCTAACCCTAACCCTAACCCTAACCCTAACCCTAACCCTAACCCTAACCCTAACCCTAACCCTAACCCTAACCCTAACCCTAACCCTAACCCTAACCCTAACCCTAACCCTAACCCTAACCCTAACCCTAACCCTAACCCTAACCCTAACCCTAACCCTAACCCTAACCCTAACCCTAACCCTAACCCTAACCCTAACCCTAACCCTAACCCTAACCCTAACCCTATCTGTAATAGGATATTGTGAATGTCATGCTGAATTATCATGTGACATGATACGAAGTAATAACAGCAATAGCATTAATGATAAGCTAGGTTTGAAATATACAAAAGAGGAAATCAATAATTACCACAAAAATATATATGAGACTCACCGAAAAATCTGTCACTTTAAGTTTAAATATGCGAATATACAGTAATGATTCCAAAGGAACAATTTTATAAGTGAATTTTTTAAGACTGTCAATTAATTGTTAATGATTGTAACAGTAATTCCAATGTGAAGTTCTTTATGATACGCTTGGAGAGTATGCAGCAAATTTTGTAGAGAAATGGTGCGTGTTCTAAAAGCGGTTCATCAACTTTGTAGAGGCTCATTTCCCCTATATCTGACTCCAATAAATGGTATCCGGTTAACTGAGTATTTAATGCAGGCTAAATCTCCTAGTAGAATTATGGATTTACTCGAGATTATTCAAAAGCCTGAACACCAGGTATAGAGATAGTTTGTTGTTAAAGATTGGCGAAATCCGCAAGCGCACAGGAAGCAAGCACACAGGGAAACCAAGATTGTCTATTTGTGTGCGTTAAAAATCTATATATATTTATGAGTGTTAATCGATTGTGGATGAATTATTGATTGTCTGTGTGTTGCAACCAATGGGTGGATGGATTAAAGATTGATGTGAACACACGCGCTCAATTAGACTCACACAGAAATTTACATAGTGGATTGAGTGTCTAAATTACAACGATCTGACAAATAATACAATAATTGAATGGGCTCTCATCCAGGACATTTTTTTTTACAAAATAAATTATTTTTATTAACATCAATCTTCGACAAAGAGATAAAAAACGGAATTGTTTTTAAAGTGAATGTACAACTTGATATGATGATGAGTAAGCGTTAAGTTGTAATGACAGCTTGTATGTGTTGAAACGTTTTATATCATGTATATATAAATGTATATTTAACATCAACGAATTACATCAAGTTAACAAGTGAGCAGAATAAAGATCCGTGGTGTCATTAAAGAATAGTAGTGAAAATAGAGATTTTTATGTTTGATATGATGGAAAGAAAAGCCAATTTTCAATTGATTTACTAATTATGAGTTTTGTTCAAAATTACTTCTGTTCTGAGTCAATGTGATGATCATTCAGTGTAGTATTTGATTTGTTTTCTCGTATGATATTTTATTCTGTATAATATACGATATTCTTGTATTCAATTGGCATAAAGTATGCTCAGTATGTGATTTGTTATAACTCTAAGTATTTCTCATATATGTGATTTCATCCTAGTTATTAATGAAAAATAGTGTACAATCAATATATAAATGAGCATATTTTAGACTGGGGTCGTCGTCAGAGTGTTTTGGAGCTAATAAATTTTCACTTATACTAGTCTTTGTGTTCCTACTTTCGCGTCATTGGAATTGCAGAGGTCTCTCGTTCCGAGTATAAGTGATCAGCGTTTTTCCGACACAAAAATCAGCGACCACCAGATATAATAGTGTTATAAGAACAATCTCAGGATTTGGTCTAGATAAAATGGTGGTTGCTACATACCTATCTGGCTAGTGTACTCTTCTTCCTGACCTCGTTGTAGTTTCTGTCGCCGCTAAACTTCGATGTGAAGTATTGTTTGTTGCAGGTAGTTTGTATGGTGCTTGCTCTGCTGCGGATTTAGACGGTTTTATCGCTGTTTGTTTTTCAGTATATTCTAAAAACACTGTTCTTACTCTATCTATGATAACAGCGTCGACCTTTTGATGTTTTGCTATATCTTGATAGTTTATATCAGGGATTGAGAAGGTATTGTTATTTAATCTCCAAAGTGCATCTGCTGCATCGGAAGAGTTTTTCTTGGGTACCATATGGAGCGGTGATGCCCACGAATTATTGGGTGGGGTGTATGATACCCAACTCTATCATTTTGTTGAATTCGTTCTTTGCGAGAGCCAGACGAGAGGGGTCAAGGCGTCTTGGACGTGCGAACACTGGTGGTCCCTCTGTCTTTACGTGATGTACAACGGTATGTGTCGGTTTGTCACGTTTGAAAGTCGGTCAGAATAAGTCCGGGTACTGATTAAGTAAATTTATGTATTTGTCATTTTCGCGATTAGGTTTGATTAATAAATGTATGGACGTTTCATTAGAGGTAATTCCTCTAATTTCACTGCTATGATCGGCAAAGAGAAGTTTCTAGTTTATAACGTCTACGAGTATTTTATGGGATTGCAGAAAATCAATGCCGATTATGAGAACAACGACGATAGCTACGATCAAGCTCTATGAAAAGTTGGATTTGGGACCGAAATGTAATTGTAGCACGCGCTCAATCAGATTCACACAGAAATTTACATAGTGGATTGAGTGTCTAAATTACAATGAAAAAGACAAATAATACAATAGTTTAGTGAGCTTACTACAACCTAACCCTAAACCCTAACAAAAAAACATAACGCTGACCCTATCCCCAACACTAAAGAATTTCTTTTTTAGCACTATTCAAATATTATCCATAATTCATTCTTGTATTTCGCTACTTTATTCACGCTGTACGCTTTTTTTGATATTTTCTACGTAATGTTTATGTGCATTCTTTTTTTAATTCATATAATTATATTTTACATGCAATATATAAACGTTTTTACATTTTCTGACATACAAGTAAGTAACTTGTGAAAATGAAAGTAAACTTGATACATTATATGAAGTAATATTTCTTTAGTTTACTCAAAATATAAAGAAAGATGTGAAAATATCATCAAACAGTTCACAATGAACAATATTGATAAAGATTTGGAATAAGTTAGTAAATGAGTTTAATTATTGTTGTCTGAATGCTTATCTTGAATTGTGTTTGGTATGATGGTTATTTGCATAAGTTCAATATTTGTGCTGATCAACGTACATGGTGCATAGACAAACATTAAATTAGTATTATTTTCATATATTTTATAATACAATTGTTCTGGTATAAAACGAGTTCTCACTCCATTTGGATAATGAATCGACATTGGAACAAAAATCTCTGCAACTAACAATGCTGCGTCCACATTCGTACAATACTTCTGTGTTGGTACAAAAGCATAATAAAACACACCTGAATCAACATCGAATCTCAGCTGGACAGGTCGACCGGCAGTTGATTGTGGATATGTACGACTGAATGATTTCAACTGCATGCATGAGATAGAAGAAATAATGAAGTGAAACAATCTACTGCATTAATGTGGAATACATATGCAAGTTATTCAATTTGAAGACAGTGTAAACCGTGACTTGATAGCTTGACAAGCGAAGGAGGTAAGGAAGCTTTGCAGAGATATACTAGGATGAAGTAGTTGTTGAAATATTTTTAAAGGAACAATGACAAATTAATTTCTTATCGTATCTGACGTACACGAATGATCAAACACTGATGATTAGCTAGTTATGTGATTACAGTATGAAGTAAAATGACTCATCGAAAATTAATATCACCACAGAAATGGAGTCAGCTGTTGATGTTTTTCGACCAGATGTTTTTGCTCATAAGCTGCTTACTTTAGAACTCTATCATAAATGACATTGAAAATAGAAGATCAGAAGCGAAGTGAATTCTTCAAGTCATCGCTTGTCGTTTTGCTGCTCTTTGGTCATTAGACTGTCATTAATGATGACAAACTTTGTCGAATTGTTTTCAAGAAATCGGTTGTCGTAACGTGATGATGAAAACATTTTCACTAAGCACAGCAGATGATGGTGTTATGCTGGCGGTTAACGAAAGTTTGATAATGCCTAATACTGGAGTTTTCCGAAGTTATCGCAAGCCGAACATGAAATTCAAGCAGAAAGTAGATGATGAGGACTGGAAGAGTGATTTCAGAATATGTTCCTTACAAAGTTATTGTTTGAATAGCGGAGTGAGTTGTCTGTGAATAAGATAACATAAACGCTTAATTTTATGACCAATATACAACGTATTTGAACTCACTATTTATTGTCATGTTAACATTTTTATCAACCATACATCACTGAATTTATTAGCAGTTTTGTTTTGTGTGTGTTGTGTAAGCTCTAATAGACATTCCCTAAATCCAAAGCATAAACATAAAACATTTTATTTGGTGAAGTGTTCCTCTCTGATTTTATCTGGGTTTCCCCACCTGACTTCTCGTTCACTAGACTTGGTATCGTTGCCAAAGAGGAGGCGGAAAGTGTGCAGTTCTGCGGACACCGTTGCGAAATCGAGAAAGGAGTGATTAGTGTGTGCGGTTCGGCCTACGAAGGAGATCCAAAGTGGAGTATTTCAGTTGCTGATGATGGCGAAAACGAGTGGGAACAGAACAAAATGACTCTAGTATAAAATTGACATAAATCCAAAAAATGTATTTATCAATAATATGACCTACGGAAATGTTGTTCACAATTAAGTTAGGAAATAATTCATTTCCGTCCCAATAAGTCCAGGATTCGAAGTTACGGTCAGCTGCATTCATCACTGCGTTACATTCAACCGTATTTATTGAATGTGGATTGCCATCAGGAAGACACAGACCGAATTCTGTTAAAAAGCGTCCGCCACCAGTGAATTTAACTATACTTTTCACATTATTGAATGCATGATTCAAGAGCAGCTACACACAACCAATACCAATATTAACATTGATTAAGTATGAGAATGATTAATGTAATGAAACTAGACTACAATAAACTGCATACACTGCATCAAAGCAATAACACATTAATCATTTTGTTCATTGACCTATCACTGATTATATTTACGACTGAGTCATAACAGATTGCGAAACAGCAGACGTTCAATGTTCTCCGATTTCCGATGGTTATCATTATATTTACGTTGACGAATTTGTACATGACCGAGTGAGGAGGAAAGGCATGAAAATTGAGTAATCTCGAATGATGTGGTTTGATTACAATGTGGATGGTAAGGAATGCAGATGATACTACAAATCATCATAAAACCAGTCGTTTGTTAACAATTCACATCACTCCTAATTGTCAATTCATTACGGTGGAAATGAACTGATACCAGAAAGTGACATCTCGTCAGCGAATGACCATTATGTTTGTCTAGCTAAATATCACATTTACCAAACATTCTACATAAGCCGCCTGCCTATATGATTAACTATATAAGTTTTTTGGAAATATTCAATTGTGAGTATCATAAATGACGGAATGAATCACATGATGGCGTCAGAATTCACGTATTGATTGAATCCACTCAAACCACTTTATCACATTAGTATGTTTGATGGAAATGAAATAATTAAAGTTTATCTGTGTGTAATGAGGAATTCTACAAATAGTCGTTATTTGTTCATAGTCCATACAAACAACAACACGGATTCAGCATCACTCACCTCTTTTCCTGTTACTATTATTCACCACTATGTTAACGGAAATCGAGATAAATCCCGTTCTGTTCATGCACAAAACATTCCACTAATGTTCCATTTTGCTAAAACCGTTAAATCTATACAATCCATCCAAACTTACTAATTCAGCAATCACCACAAATATATGAAGAATGAGATTAGTTATGAAATTCCACACAGTATGAATGACGGTTTGAATACACTGATTGTTAGTGTATTCATGAAATCACATCACGTCAGTTCATTGAATCATCAAACATTTATTTTGTAAATTGATTAGCACCTATTACTATTAATTACAGTTTTCATGTCAAATCATAATGTTTAGTATTTTCGTTCCTAGATTACTTACTCTACAGTACTGTAATTAAGTTCAGTTTGTTTTGTGGTGTTTTGTTCACCCCAATCAGTTCATCATTTATTAAGGACACATTAAACATTTATCCATATCAGTTGTAACTATCATTTGTGTTTTTTGAAATGAAATATTCACTGTTTTGTCTGACATGATACATTTTGTATGTGCAGAGGGCAAATCGGAGCTCGAACTAAACACAATAATTTGTTTGTCAATTTTGTTTGTAACAATCAATGTCTTACAAGTTGGTGCAAATAACAGAATGGAATTGTACTTCCCTTTGTATTTATCGATGCAATAATCATATCAGAATTTCACTTGATTTCATAAAGTGGAGATCGTGTCGACAACCCTAACACTAACACAATATACATATTAATCCAATGCTTCTGTTTTCACTTTCACGTTTAGTTTATAAGTGGTTTTGGCTAATTCACTATATCTCATGAATACAATGATGACAGAATTCCTACTTATCATGGCTTTATAGAATTATTCGTCAATGTTATTTATTCATCTACGCCCAATTTCAGACACACCCATTGCTATGTCTTTCATTAGTCAGCATGATTCATAAACCATGAATGATATCACTTTATAGAAGGAATGTAAAAATCTCTCATCTTATTTAACTTGTTTTAATCAATTACAATGTACACCATGGTTCTAACAATTTTGCAAACTTATTCATCATCATATTGTTTACTGAGAGTATTTCCATGGTGAAAATAAATGAATTGGTGATTGGTAATTGATAAATATGAGCTAGTTTATGGATGTTTTCACATCACTTCTGAGTAAATAAATTCTGAAGTACAAGAGTGTTTTGGTGTTGTTTTCATTATTGTTATTATTTTCATTATTATTATTACTATTATCATTGCTATTTTCGGTATCCAATCTAAACATTTGTGAACTGTTTGGTTTCCACAGAGGATCAGCAACAGTGAATGTATTACCTGAAACCAGAAATCGTTAAAGAATCTTTTGTCGTACAACGGAACACCTCAGGAGTAATCACTCACAATGATGACAGATGTTGGAGCACAAACATCCAAACCTGAAGGTAAGAAATAAAAGTGTAGACCTCTAAGATCAAATGCAACTCATCAACTATCACTGTTAAGTCAATTCACCATGGAGCTCATTAGTTGTACAATGTCATAGATGATAAATATTTCATCGTTGATATGGCTGAATCCCGCTGATAACAACTTCTCATTCCGATCTAACGAAATTTCTTAGAGTGCTACGTGGTTTCGGAAACAAAAGTGAGCTACAAGTACTTGTCTGAGTTCACTCAAACTTATTTTCCTAGTCAACATTTACACATTTATTGAGCGTGTTGAAAATGTTCAACTATAAAAATGAAACGTGTGACATGATAACTCCATACGTCTGCATAGACGAGAGATAATTTGGCTTGGAAATTTCTGTCAAGGATCAACAAACCAGAACCAACAGATAACTCTTTTGATAAAACATCGAGTAACTCAATCGCATTATTAAACTATTTAAAGGTGAACATTGTGAAGCACCTCAGAATTGCGACTAAACAAATGTTCGTGGTCTAAGGGATTCGAGTGGTCAATCAATCATTTTAATATCATGATCGAAATCAGTTGAAATATTTAGAAACGCTTATATCTATCTAATCATAAGATAATCAAGAGTAAAATCTCAACAGATTTAATGTTTCACTATTTATAATATTATCAAGTGAGCAATCAATTACTGAAGCTAAAGCCTACTTTCACATGGTTGGTGTTTGCAAAAACTTACTTAACAGAATATCGAAGATTCTATGTTGCTTAACTCACATCCAATAAATAATGGCATTCTTACTATATGAAATTTGGTGAGATTAATAAATTTTAGGCTTGACAATAACCTAAGGAATTCAGCTGACTGAAGCTAAAATGTCAACCTGTATTGTCACGTATTATGCTAAGCCCATATACTAGAACAAGATCATAACGTGGAGTGTTCATAAAATGATAATTTGTTCAGTGAGTGATATAACTGCGTAAATGTCATAATTTAATGTCAGCAAGAACAAAATTAATAATTCCACATTTGGTCATGATATAACAATAATGTATTAATAAGGAAATGATGATATTTCAATAGTTGAGATCATGAGCCAATTGAAGCTAGACCACCATGAAAACCTGGAAGCACTGGACAGCCGTTTAGTCCTATTGTGGGACTCCTCATCAGTGCGCAACCACACAATAGGACGAAACGGCCGTCCAGTGCTTCCAGGTTTTCAATGGTGGTCTAGCTTCAATTGACTCATAATCTAAACTATTGTTTTTACTACAATCTCCACAAAACCCCTTCCGAAATGATGATAATTTAAACCATAATAGAACAATCCGACAATTTGATCAATGAGAATAGTTGACATGGAGACAAAGTATCGATAAGGTGATACGATTTATGTGTGTCCATGTCGCGCTGCACATGTTTTGCTGAGTGCGTCGGGTTAGAGATTGTGCTGGCTTCGCTGAAGTTTCTTCATCGACTTAGCTTGTTGTGTTGAGTTCGTCGGCGGCGGCGGGCTCACCACTTTTCGTGGGGCCCTTTGTTTTGTCGTCACTTAGATCGAACGATGTTGTCGAAGGGCTCTCCACTTTAGTGGTCCGGAGTCTTACTCCAAATAGATCGTATGAATGATTGCTGTCGAAATGTATATGTCTCCTATCCTCGTATATAATCATCGACTTAAATCACGTTAGTCAATTTAATAAGTCAAATAACGAGAATGGATTTTTGAATACATATATATTGTATAAACGTTGATCCTGATAAACGAACGGGGAAACGATGCGAAAAGAAGAGAGCGAAGCAAACATGATGCACGATGTAGAAGGCGTGTGATCCAATTCCATTTACCAAGCATTAAACAATATTTATAGTTACACAAAAATAAGTTACAGACATGTGATGTGTAATGGGATAAGAATGTACACACATATATGCTCTCATATAAAAACAATGAAGATTGGTAAGCGAATAATTAACGAGGTCAAAATGTGACTCGAGTACAATGAATCAATTGATTTGTCCCAAAAGCTAGAACAAGGTATATGAGCTTAACATAATATCCGACACCACAAACTATCGAATACTAAACTGCTGATCTGAGAACTCACTCGCTAACAAATATTAAAGCTTTAGATTTGAGTTCTGGTAGGGTTGTAAGTGTTGTAAGCACTCACTACAGAGTAGTAAACAGTTGTGTGGTTAACGTGAGGACATGGTGTAAAATGTAAATAATATTTCATTATGAAAAAAATACTTTCAGTCAGCAATCCATAGACGTTTAACTTAATTCAATGTAGTCGTTCTGAATATAGATGCAATCATTTATTTATTTAGAAAATATTAATAGGGGTGACGAAAGATTTCAAAATTTTGCAGTCAAGTTTGGCAATCATGTTACGAATAAAATGAAAGCCAGTTAGCATATGCTAAAAAATATCAGTTGGTTAATGTTGGTATTGAATCATCGAGTGATTGGAATGAGTGCACATGTGTTACAAACAATAAACCAGGTAAAGAAAACTCTCACTTGATCACACAAATATCGTTTCCATGATGGCATATCCTGTGTAGATGGTGTCGATTCCAATAGCCAACAGTAGTAATGATAAGATAATACACTCTTCTTTCTGGCCATTTCATCTTGTAATAGACCGGGAACACGTTGGATGCCAGTACCGGGTATTCCATTGACAAATGGAAAATATATTCCAAAAGTTACACTCTCGTAAAATATCAATGTATTCTTGTCTGTTTGGCGAATAACATTCACCAAATAATCATAAAATGGTAAGAGATTTTGACCTGCATTATCTGTCCGAATACGAAAAGTAAGAGATCGGAAATGTAAGAATCGAAATGGAATTCGAGAATGAAAATAATTGACATTTCACAACAATGATATTCAATGTCGCAATGCATGAGTTAAACAGTCTATTTTCTACTGAAATAAGCATATCTGTTATGAACAGACTGTTTTCGGAAAGATAGATTGTGGTGATTATTGGCATTCACGAAACTCTTTTCATTTTATTAGGGACTTATTAGATGGGTTATCTTACATCTAAGTGTTCGTGTTTATCTACATTCAGTTGGAAATATCAATAACAGGAGAACCGAATTCTCTTCTAATAATTACAAAATGTTCATCATTTGTAAGTCAACTTCTGTAATCTAACGATCTGTAGATGAAGTATTTAAAAAATGAACATAAAGCAAAAACTCTCTAGACCTTAATCATGTGAAAATGTAAACAAATGATGTAAGCGTGATGTTTATGAGATGTGTGTGGCATTCATAATCACATAAACAGTAAACACATCATTATTTAATCTTAAATTGTGGATTGAATCCGGTAGAATGAGATCTTCATCTTTTGCTTTCGTTGCCCATAACTTATGCACATATTTCCTTCTATTCTTAATCAGTTCTAATCTATACTGTCTTCATTACAAAGACAACATAAATCAGTAAGAAACAATGTAAAATTTTAACTATTCTAATCATAGTAAATTATGTATCGACCTTTTTCATTTAAATCACAAACATGTTTGATGTTTATATTCTGAGAAATAAAACACTTACATTGAAGTTTCTCAACACATTACTAATGAATTCAGTCTAAATGTGATCCATCTAAAGAAATGTTTTGTTTGCATTTTAACAAAACATCTAAATAAATATCTTTCTATTTCGTTTAAGCTACCTACCTGGGCATTAAAGTCGCCTGCTACGAGTAATATGTCTGAACGTTTAGCTTTCTTAAGAAGTTCAGACTAGTGAGTTTTATTTTAAATGTTTTACAATCAAATGCAGTCAGTGGGAGCGTAGGCAGAAACGACGTGTGTCCCTATCCTTTCGGGTTCTTACCGAGGCGTTTAGCCGAACAGCGCATAGACGACTATTAACGGGGATCCACTCTAATAGCGCTTGTTCCGCCCTCATGCTTAGTGCTATATCTACACCTGCAAGTCCACGCGAACTAGCTATCGGGTCGCCAGATACACGGAGGGTGTATCTCGTCGGCACTCCTTTTTGCCAAGGTGAGGTCAAGTGAATGACCACACTAGGATCCTGTATGCGTGTTTCGGAGACACAGCATACATCAATCGTACGAGATTCTAAGGTTATAGCCAAGGAAGCCTGCTAAGACCAATTTGGCATAGTGTGCGTACGTTGAAGGCTCCAAGTGAAGAACGAAACACAAATGTTTAGTGGTGTTCAGTGTAACAAAATAATTCTGGTATGAATAAATTCAAAATGATATTTTGTCATTTGAAAAAGATTTGTCCGACTTCATATCACTTTGCAGTCATGTTCGTGTTGATATATGAACTACAGTGGTCTTGGGTGCTCGCTTTAGAGGTATGAGGGCGGTTATCACTTCCCGATTGCCCACACAGTACAAGGGATTCTGCCTGGAGGTACCTGAAAAGGAAATTGGATTAGAGGTGGTCATAGTGACCTGAGAGCGTGACCGCAGTGCCCAAGGGACAGCTGCTTGAGGTCGGTCACACACGACCTTTTTATGAGTAATTTTTGTGTTAGCTCCGTACTTGTTGAGACCTTACCGCCGGAGATTAACCATTGGTTAATATGATTACCAAATGTTATGTCAGTGGAGATTTGATGATGCGAGGCAATTATGTAAGCCTTCTGTTTGTGTTCATTTGTTTACCTAAATCCGATTTAAACTACATAATCCAGGTATATTGATAGTATCGATCCGTGGTTATACCACTGCCTTATGAGCAAGTTTCTGATTGTAAGAGTGGGGTTACTTAGACCAAACATACACGTATTAAGTTTGACTATGAGAAAGTTACATATACTAAAAATCCTAACCCATCAGTCATGTCCTAAGCCCTATTTTTCTTGGGAGTTTGATTCCTAGAATATAGTTTCTAAATATATTTTATTTTACTGTGAAATATGCTTGAACTCCTTCCAAGTTAGGCGTATCAGATAGACGCAAATTGCTAAATATAAAAGACCATTATTCTTGGACAGGTTTAACAAAAATCGTGTACAGAATAATTCTAGACTTATGTTGATAGAAATCTCTTAAAATAAAACCTAATAATCTTGGTAATTTTGATATTTTAGTGTTCGGAGCAGTTTTGGCTAAGGGAAAATTTCGGTCTTAGGTTAATTAATGACTCAAGTTGGCGTAAAATCGTACCAAAGTCAACTTATTTGAAATCGATTTTGACGACTCAAGAATTTAGAATGGGATAGGTTCTTCAGGTAGACTCCAGTCTGTTTATTAGTAGTTTGTGAGGTAATTTGTTAGACGATATTTATGTGTAGGTTCATTAAGACAAATATGTTCTTTTGATCAATGCTTCAGGCTACCTCATCAAACAAGTACCACAGACATGAAGGCATATCCTCTGTAGATGGTGTCGATTCCAATAGCCAACAGTAGTAATGATAAGATAATACACTCTTCTTTCTGGCCATCTCATCTTGTAATAGACCAGGAACACGTTGGATGCCAGTACGGGGTATTCATTGGCAAATGGAAAATATATTCCAAATTTATATTTAGGGAAAACGTAAGTTGCTTTAATTTTTCTGGGTATGTTCTTGCTTCTAAGTATAAGTTAAATATTTTGAGTAGCTGTTTTAGAATTTACGGTTTTAGATTTCTATAGATAACTGATTAGAAGTCATGAACACCTGAGCTTGAGTTCAGCTTGATGGTTTATTAACAATGATAATTATCCTGAGTTAGATATTATTACTCTGAGATTATTTTCGCTACTTTATTTAAGACTGATACGTAAAGCGTGAAATATATTCTCATTGTTGAATAGACTCACCCAGCAGTTTACAAACAGCATTTTGATCATCACTGACCACTCAATTTTTCAGTACTGCTGTTGCACTCTTTTTCAGGTTTTCCTACAGACAACAGGGGTTTTAGAATTTAAATGCGTTTCGGAGCTACATATTCCTCGATTTCTTGCTTTTCATTTTTTCATCATTTGTAAGTGAACTTCTGTAATTTAACGATGTGAACAAATCAATCACCTAAGAAGACATCATGCATAGTGTGCGTTAATGAGTAACTTGATTAATTTTGGCGAATCTTATCTCGATGTCCGTTTTGTATATTGGTTTAATAGAGTCTAGTGGTGATTTAATGGTAGTTTAGTGGAGGTCGTAATGAATGATTGTTATGGGAATTTATATATCGCCTATCCTCGTATATAATCATCGACTTCAATCACGTTAGTCAATAATGGAATTAAATAAGTCAAATAACGAGAATGGACTTTTGAATACATATATTTTGTATATGAAGCGAATGGCATAGAGCAAGGCAAAATGACGCGCAGTCGAGATGGCGAATAAGCCAACACCCATTTAGTCAAGTATTAATCAATATTTTTAGTTACACAAAAATAAGTTACGGATATGTGATGATTAATGGGATAAGATATGTACACACACCTACGCGCTCATATAAAAACTGAAGATTGATAAGCGAATAATTAGCAAGGTTAGAATGTGACTCAAGTAGAATGAATACATTGACCTGTCCGAAAGCTAGAATAAGGCATATGGGTTTAACATAGTAACTGACACTATATCTGAAATAAACATCACTAGTGTTTTTGTAAGTTTATCACTTGTGTCGAATTAACGCTAGTCAGTGCTTGGGTAGGGTGGACATAGTCCTTTTGCATTTACGTAATTTTTCAAAATTGATTAGTGTGTGTGACAAGGTCAAAATGTAGCTTGAGAAGAATCGACAAACTGGTTTTTCCAGAAGCTGGAATAACCTATGTGGGCTTGACATAGTGCCAGTCACTACATGATATACTGTTAGAATAGGGAAAGCGAGATGTTGGTGCAGTTATGAATGTCATATGCTGAAGGGTTTTCGCTTCAAGTTTTATTCTAGTCTGTTTGTTACGGTATATATGATTTTTTTACTTTATGGTATTGTAGTGTCTGTTATTGTGTTAAGCCCAAATACCTTATTCTAACTTTCGGACTTCTCAATCTATTCATTCTACTTGAGTCATATTTTGACCTTGTAAATTATTCGCTAATCAATCTTGGCTGTCCTTGTGACTGGAAAGAAGTTGTAATGAATTTACAAAATGTTGATACTGTTATTGCTATAAATAAATATTATAACTGTTCAAAGTAAGAAGTCTGATATGGCTCGATGGAAAGAAAAAGGCAATACTGTGGATGAAGATTTATTCGTGCTCTAACAATAAATTCTTTAAAGTTGTAGCCACTAATCCATAACTGATCCAAATGATGTCAAACATTGCAATGTCATAAATCATTCACTCAACTGGTCAAAAGCCACATTTGAATACACTGATCCCGGTAGTAGTCGGCAATAATTAATTAATTATTTGATACTGTTATATCCCGATAAGAATAATGAATGGTAATTTTTGGGATCCATTTATGGAACAATACTGTGCGTATATTTTTATCGTATAATTGTTAAATAACTAAACTATTCATACTCATGTCCCTCTTATTATGAACTTCATTTCAACTTGTGAACTATTATTATACGATTTACCATTCTTGAGTTATGTCCTGTTTATCAACTACTATCTCCCTTATTCACAAGCACATTTGGCTAATACTTGTACAAATGTTGTTTCCTATTTTATGGTACGATGTGGTTTGTCTGGTTGGTATATAAACCCAGTATGTTTGAAATGAATGATTCATATCGCAGAGGCTGAGATTGGTGTTCTGGACTTGACTAACTGGGC